AATTATTTATCTTTTTTTTTATGTTTTCTAGTTGTTCCTATTGTAAATTGACATAATGTTGATTATCTGCTCTTCCTCTATTATTTCTGACATTAATACTCCCACTTCTACTTTCTTTATTAACTTCTCTCGTAGCTTATCCTAACCTTACTTTTTTCTTATTAAAAATCCCCCTTTTGCTCTTTCTTTTCTCGTATTTCTAGTTGTGTTCTAACTATATTCTCATTCATACGTATTGGGCAACCAATTTCCTTTATGTTTTCCCATTTCTTACAGTCTACCCATGTTTTACATAAGCTAATATAAAATCGAACTTTCCTATATATCTCTAGAAATCTCTATCTTTATTTTCTATCCCTGCGCTATCCCAAAAAATCAGCCTTCTTCCCCACTCTACTTCATTCCCTTTGTTCATTTTCCTCTTCTTGGCTTAAACAAAATCCTCCTCTCCTATCCTCTCTTCCCTCTCCCTCTCTTTCCTGTCCCTCTCCCTCCTTCCTCTCTAATTCTCTTTCTATCTCTCCATGCTATCCATTTCCCTTTAATCCTCACTCTTGCGTAACCTATCTTAATTTCTTCATCACTTTTCTGTTCTTTGACCCATATATCCTCTCTTGTATTTTTCTTTCCTCCCATGACAGATCTCTTTCTATGTATATATTCCCCCCTTTTAATTTATTTTTGTTTTTCATCACTTTTATTTTGTTTTCCTTGCTGTCTAACTTTGCTATTATTACCTTCCCGCTTTTCCTAATATTCAGTAACTTATAATCTATCTCTAGCTTTTCTTTTATTAAATTCTCTACCTTTTCTCTTAATTCCATATTATTTCCCTCATTACTCATTCCTTTTATTGCTATATTATTTCTCTTCTCCTCTTTTTCTTTCTTTGTCATCCATTTCTTTAATTTGCCTATCTCTCTATCGCTAAACCTCCTTTCACTCATCATCGATCCTTCATATTTACTCCTATTACTACTTCTACTTCTATTTCCTCTGCTATAATTACTGGGTGCTTTCCAATTATTTTACACTTTTTAACACAAACGTACACAAGACACAAAGTGTCGCGATGTGCACGACTCAATTGGAACAAAGTGTACCACATCTTTGGGGGCCTATTCTATTCCTATTGGAATAGAAATGATAAAAATTAATTGAAATCGATTTAAATTGACAGAATTTCTATTTATTTATATCCTATTCTATCAGTTATTTTCATTAGGGTTGAATATCTCGACTTTGGTACCAATACGGTTCTTACAATTGAGTAGATATTTAAATAACACTATTAATAGCATATACACAGTACATTCAAAAAGTTCCAGGACTGGTCGCACACAAATCAAACAACGTCATATATTGACTCCTCTTTAATATCAAGATTCTGTCCCCCCAGACTATTTTTTGTTTCCCAAGCTAAAATTGAAGATAAAGGGACACCGATATGAGCCAGTAGAGGCGATTGAAAAGGCGGTGACAAAGGAACTGAACAACGTATTCCAGTGGAGGCGTTCCAGAAGGCGATGATGGACCTGAAGACTCGTTCTAAGCGTTGTATCGAATTGGCGGGAGACTATTTAGAATCTTGATATTAAAGAGGAGTCAATACATGGCGTTGTTTGATCTGTGTGCGACCAGTCCTGGAACTTATTGAATACACTGTGTAGTCTCAATTTCAAGCAAATATATAGAAAATCTATTAATCTGTGAACGTCCTTAGTCGTAATGTCTCAACATCTTAAGGACCTAAATTAAAAACTGTCACTTTTTAGTAAAAATAATTTTTTACTGAATTTTTATTGAAATATTGATGAAATGATGACAAAACGGGGTTACTTAAGAGAGTTTAAATACATTTTTTTTAATGTCATAATATTTTCAGTAAAATATTTTCACCAAGATTCATGTTTCATATAGTGCGTACAGGAATACTCTAAATTGATGATAACTATTATGTTTTTACAGGAGGAATTTTCAAGGTGTTTACCGTAGCATCAATGTTACATCGCTTTTGACTCATTAAACAAAATAAGTTGTGTGAATTTGCTGAAGCAATGATGATAATTTCATCGGACAACACAAGAAAATAGAAACTTACACACGCTTATAGAATAAATATCTAAAGAACATTTTCGTTTAGCCCGTTTATCTTTAAACGTCACAATGAGCTACGAAATACCTTGCGACATACAAATGCCTTACCTACGGGCGATTCAAAAGATACCGGGCAATATCCGCAGTGAAAAATTGAATTGGATTGGAAGATTGATTCACCAGACCAGCAATGTTGAACAACTCCCGCCAGAATTATTGCCTATACTGCGTGTTGAAACTGCCATCAAGAAGAAGAGACACGAGGATATAACATGGGCGCTCAAGTGTGAGGATTCAACGATAATAAATCGGATTCTTAAGGCCTCCTGGGTTTTCGATGGTAGCCACAAGGAGACTATCAACGTCTCGTATTTTTGTGATCGTATCTTGCCTTACGTTTCTGTAGATACAAGGACGCGTATTGTGCTCGCACTTGCACATCGATTATCCGGTAAAGATCCGGTTTTCGCGCAACAAATGTTCATAGCAGTGTTATCTATTTACAACATTCAAACTGCTTACCCATTGATTATAGCTTGCGACGAGACTTTTGCTTATGAAACAATTGTAGAGAAGGAACTCATATTGCCCATAACAATTACTAAGAAAATCTTCCGCAAAAATCCGGATTTAATAGTGCGTTTTCTCAAATTATTAAAGCCGCGTGAATTAAACGCGACCGAACGCTCTCCTTTCGCGATCGGTATTCATAAATATGAGTCTTTCCTGCCTAAATTAATAAAGAAGCGACTGCAAGATTTCATAGAACTATGCGAGATACACAAAGCTGAACCGCCGAATATTGTTTTAAGTAATAAGTGTACCGAAATATTTCTAAAGAAAGCTCAGGAGCATCTGATAAAAAATCCGCTTTTATACATCCATATGTTACCACCTAAAAAGATCAATAATTTAATGGAGAGTATATTTCCGGGTCTATTGCCCACAGAAATTTCTTCCTTTGGCACAGATAGCATGCTCAATTATTTGGAACATTATCCACATGATAAAAAATACGATTTACTCCGTAAATCATACAAAAATAAATACCATGCTAATCTTCTGGATGAGATGGTAAACGTGACGCCTGCCTTATTACAATTATTACCTACTGAAGAACGGATCAAGCAGGCTAAACTTAAAATCGAGAAACAGACCTTATTGTTAGAAGAGACTAATAATGATTATACGACAGATTATAAAACAGCTTGGATTTGTTATTTACCTATTAACGAAGTCATACCAGTTATCAAGGAAAAAATCAATAAAACTCCAAATGAGACAGATAGGCTTAGTCTCATCATACAAATGATTTACTCTTGTAAGATAAATGGGGATGACAATGCGTTATCCGATACATTGACATATTTCTTAAAGAGACATAAAAATGAAAATTCTTGGCTATTCGAACAAATGTTTCATAAACTCTTGCAAATATATGATGTACCTCATTTAAACAAAAAGCAGATCTCTCTTGTACTGGACATTGTCCGATTGTTTTATATAAAAAATGGATATGCATCTGAAGAAATACTCACACCTATAATACATTGCCAACTTATACATGGTATGCCAATTGAGGAGTTGATTAACATGTTTCTAGGAAATCAATGGTATCTAAATTTCAACATACTTCAAGAATATCCACAATATGAGAGACAATGCCTCGTAACTTTTGCAAATGCCATTCAAAAAAAGTCTTTCAATAATTTCAATGAGAAAAATAGCAACTTTTGTCGCTTTGTTACCGCAATATTTGATTTCAACAATAGATGTAAAAAATCACACGTCAAGATAGAAAAAATGACAATTAAAGATTATCCTTGGGTAATGGATACTATTCTCGAAGTAATACGTTCCAAGGAAGATTCATGGTATGTGGAAGAAGAATTGCAAAAGAATGAACCAGAACTGTACCGCAGTTGGCTCCCAGAGAATATTGTTAATGTAACATCAGGGATGGCGCTCACTTTACTGAATCACGACTTACAATATATACTGAACAATTGGGAAAAATACTTAGCAGACTGCATGAAGAACTGTCGTCTTAAAAGTGTACAACACTTTGTCAAGGCCACGCGTTGGTATAAAGACTTACCCATTAAATTTGCTGATTGTTGTATGAATAATATATATGATAAAAATATAGATAAAATATCGCCTAGCGTAGTTATCCTGACCATTCTACTTCATGGAGATACGGTAGAAAAACTAATCAATCCTCTCATACCCACGGAAACAACGATAAATACTAGTCATCCAAATGCTAAGGATGACTATAAGATCTTACAAAATTTACCGTTAAGCATGAGACTTGCCAATCCGCCAGTACCTCTTGATCTTGTAGTTAGATTATGCGAAGGAGATTATTTATCCATAGCTCTGGCAACACTTACGAACGTAAGTAAACGGACTTCTTTACCGAAAGTGATAGCAATCGTGCAAAAGTTAATGACTATGCGTGTGAGCACGCGAAAACATGGGATTAGACTAATGTGTTTAGTCGCTTCCATGCGTGAACTTACAAATTTTCTCCAGAAAACCTGGGCGACTGAGAGCCATCATTCAGTACGTCAAGTTTCGCTCAAAGCATTCCAGAATTTATTCCTTACAAAGCCAAATCCTGAAACTTGGTCTCTATATTGTCAAGCTATGTCGACATTGAATCTGAAGGACGAAAATTTACTTTCAGACAGCTCGATGTTTTTCAAAATTCCCAATGAATATGTTGTAAAATTTTTTGATTTACGACTCAAGACAATAGACAATCTGCGAGGAATGGGATTGGACATCCAGAAGACAAATAACTATATTGCTGATTGCTTAGGAATGCTCACTGAATCCATTTTCAACCTGCTACCTGAAGAATTTGCTGAGAACATCCTTCGAAAATTTTTATTTCACATTGATACAAGAGTATCCGAAACAGCGAGACACTTTACAATATCATACATTTTATCAGTGGATAAGGATAAATACACAGCATGCATCAAAGTATTTGCTGATGTTTTTCACAATACAGTGATAACTTTCTGGAACGTCCCGCACCCTAAAAAATTACACTTCCATCCATTAAATAAGGCCGTGCGTTTATTCGTAGATGACTTTGTTGTTAGCTATGTCAATAAATTTTGCTTGAATGATTCGACTAACCTAGAGGTCATCGACAACATGCAATCGATATTTTTATCGGTCTTATCGCCTAGACAGGACGCGAGATCATATTTGCTGTTGATGTACGCAAAGAAGTTGCAAGAATGTACGTTAACCAAGTCCTCCTTTGGCCTGAAACTTGGTCAACAGTTGCACGAATTAACCGACATCTTTTCATCGCTATTAATTTCGTTTATGACCGACGTTCTCAAATATTTCCTAAGTCGTGTATATAAACATCCTGACTTGGAAAAATTCCAATTTAGTATTATAGAAGACCTTATTGAAACTGGTAATTCGGATGCCTGTTTTATGGCTGTATTAATGTTACCATCGACAATTCAGACGAAACATGTAGCAAGATATGATCAAATCATCGAAAAATTCCGAAGAATAGAGGAACCTTTTATCACCGTTTTATACGATCATTTAAATGAAACAAACTTACAAATTATTGATTAAATAAATCTTCGATTAGTTTAACAATTCATTCAACAAACGTTGTATTTACATAGCAATATTTTATTACGATATTAATACTTTATTATATGTATATTTAATAATCGATTTGTAAACGTACTTTATGTTAAATTACGTGTTTTCGGTGCATTTTTAAATATAATAGAATAATTTTTGAATTATCATTGAAAAATTATTTTCTATTATTTGCATGAGGTATACTAAGACAAATAGAAAAGTTCACTACCATTTTGCACTTGGAGGTATAATTATCGAGATATTGATGTTCAAAAATTGCCGTATTATCCCGACCTACTGGTAAATGTAAGCGCGCGATGAGATGCGTCCGCCCGCCCCATTGGCTGCCGCTTGAGGCGGTGCGCGGCGAGAAGTAGGCTGATGGCAGACAACTATCCGTAAGCGCTTACGGAACTGACGTAGCCATAGACTTAGGGTAAACGTAAGTCCTTAAGCGCTTACGGATGGTTGTCTGCCATCAGCCGTAGGGAGATTTATGAAAAAAGTTGACCGCTGTGCCAGCGGTCGCGTAAGCGGCGGACGGACAGCGGCGCGCCTCTATACTTATCTTCGCGCACCACCTCAAGCGACGGCCGATGAGCGGGCGGATCTCATCGCGCGTTTACATTTGCCAGTAGGTTGGGCTAATAGCGATGTTTTAACATCAATATCTCTATAACTATTCCTCCAAATGCAAAATGGTAGAGGACTTTTCTGTTTGGCTTAGTCTCCTCTATCTTCCCGTAAACGGCGGTGAAAAAGTTGCGGAGTACCCTGTATATCTAAGGTTTTTTCTCAGCAAATTATCAAATTTAAATTGTTATTTGATGTTACTTGAAATAAACGCAAATTTGTTAGTTCTTGTATGAGACAGATAAAATAAATACACATGCTTATATTTTTATAACAATTGTATATGAGATTAAAGTAACACGATTATATTTGTATTATATATATGTATATACATGTATAGATTATAAATTAAAGATTTATTTAAGCAGTTTACAAAAATTTCTACTTTAATCTCATATATAATTGAAATATAAAAATTTGTTAGTTTTTATGCGAGACAGATAAAATAAATACACATGCTTCTATTTTTATAACGATTATATATGTATGAGATTAAAGTAACACGATTATATTTATATTATACATGTGTATGTACATGTATAGATTATATATTAAAGATTTATTTAAGCAGTTTAAAAATATCGTGTTGCACACACAGTATATGTAGACTCCGTGATGAGGCTGGAGCGCGCGGTCTCAAACAATTAAAATTACACTTGCAAAGAGAAATACGCAAAATTAAAACACAAAGGTGTAAAATGTTTGCTTTATCATATTATTTTTATAGTTTTATAATATAATGATACTTTCATTTTTCTCGTATATTTTTAATATTTTGTTTAATAAAAAACTTGTGAATTTATAGAATTTCAAAGTCATAAAGGTTTGTTTAAGTTAAAGTGCAAACATATTATTAAGATTCAACGTATAAAAAGAAAAATGTATTTGAGAAGAAAAATAAATATCGTTTTAATTACACAATATCTCATGATTTACTTGCAAATGTGTGTGTGTGCGCGCGTGCGTGCGTGCGAATGCAAATATATCTATTCGTATTTAATTATACACAAGAATGTCAACAGTTCTACGAATATAAAATTGGGATCTATACGAAAAGATAAAACTATATGAAATTATATCTACTTATATCTACTTATATCTA